TCTTGAGAATGGAGAATCAGAGCACACCTGGGTTGCAAATGTTTTATATAACCCCTGAATTATTCCCCTTTGCTCTTCAGTTCTTTGGCAGAAGTAGAACCACCTCTCATGCTATCTAACTGTGTTCAGAAAGAGGTCCTGTCATGATAGCCCTTTAGATGTTATCCAAGTAGGGAAAAGAATGATGAATTCCAAGACAGGGATTGCATTTTTGTGCAATAAGCGAGCATCAAGAGACAGTCAGTCTTTGGAAGGTGATGGTAATGGTAGTGGGGGAGTCTCATTGTATTTTATGTGAAGAGTTGTTTTGAAGGGGCTTTTCTCTTTTAGCATGCAGTCCATCCATTGTTGGTATCCCCTTTCCTATGCTGTTTTTGGCCCCCCAAAGCACTAGTGCTTCTGAACACAAAGGGTGAGGCTGTTTGATTCCTAGAGGTTCTCATCTCAAGTTTTTGATGCTTTAAATTTCTTCAGGTCTGAGACCTGCCAGAGAGAAAGGCAGAGAGCAGAGCAGCCTGGATGAATGAACACTCATGTAAACTGTAGAAGGAGGAAACTTCCTCTCACAATCTGGTGGAAAGTAAAATAGGAAATGCCATGTGCTTTGTGCAGAAAATAATAGTGAAGCTACTTAGCATCACGGAAAACTTTTCTTGGTGGGGTGTGCATTTCCTAATTCATAGCTGAATGAAAGGTGAACTTAATACACGTAAAGTACTTGGAAAAGAATTAGTTCTGAAAAACTCCTGAAGATTATTTATTACTAAATGCTTTCAATGCTGCTGTCACCTAAAGATATGAGAATTGTCCCCTCTTATACTCATTTTATGAAGAATGTAAACACCCAGAAATATGCATGTACGTAAATAATGCTTTTTCTATGTATAATTTTTGTCCAAAACTATAATTTATATTCCAACTAAGACTGGAGGAGAATTTATTCTTATTCTCTACTATTTGCCTCCTTCCATCTAAGCTTATTCAATAAACAGAGAATTAAATGTGTACTTTGTGAAACAAAAGAAAGACAAAATTTTCTCAAACTTTCCCTCAAGTGGTTTAAAAATTGTCACTGATTTTAAGTCCTGAATTGAAGTTTTTGTTACACATATGTGGGTATATGTATACACACAAATACAGACTCATCTGAAAGATGAGGTATAAATGAGCCTACAAAAAAATAACAAAACTGGTAATACAATGATTATCAAAGCTAGTGTTGCCTCTGTGGAGTAGTTTTGCATTCTATTTGTATCACAATCACCTCTGGGAACTCCTTTCTACTTGGATACATCAAGAACAAGAGGCTGCTTGCTTCTTAGTTCCTTAGAGAGTTAGACTGTTTGGCCAGAGTTATGGAAAAGGGATTGTGTCGCAAGTCAAGTTATGGTTTCAGGACTGCTTCCAAATATTCCTGCTTTGGTTATAGGAGTAAAGAGCTGTGGATTCTTGAAGCAGTCTTTTTGGTCAAACAGTTTAATAGGCTGTGGGTCTAGTGCCAGTGATTCCATTTCTAAAGGATTTTCCTTTGAAGTGTTTGTTCCTCAATGTGTTTTTCCAGCCAAACATATGCCTGTGATTTGAAATCAGCTTAAGAATTTTCTTTCACACTTTAGTGTTCATGTTTAGTTTGCTGGCATTAAATGATGCGAAATAAACTTGTTTGGCTCCTCAAATCCCTCCAGTGATTTTGCCACTCATGGTTTTTCTAAGAGGTGGTGTTTTGTTGTCTCTGACTCTAGATGACTCTTGAAAGCTACTTTTTCAATTAATTTATTTCTGGGAAAGGGTTAAAGGAAAATATGCTCAAGCTGCTTGTACTTTGCATTACTTTTCTAGAGTTTCTTAGAAAATTATTTTTTATTTGTTAACCATTATCTTAAAGGTTTTCACTCCATCATTTATGTAGGTGTTCTTCTTGACCAGTATTATGTTTGGCTTATGATGTGAAATTGTGCTCACTGGATTAGATTTAAGATTCATTGAACAGTTCAGTTCAGTCGCTCAGTTGTGTCCAACTCTCCGTGAACCCATGAACCACAGCACACCAGGCCTCCCTGTCCATCACCAACTCCTGGAGTCCACCCAAACCCATGTCCCTTGAGTCGGTGATGCCATCCAACCATCTCATCCTCTGTCGTCCCCTTCTCCTCCTGCCTTCAATCTTCCCTAGCATCAGGGTCTTTTCAAATGAGTCAGCTCTTCGCATCAGGTGGCCAAAGGACTGGAGTTTCAGCTTCAACATCAGTCCTTCCAGTGAACACCCAGGACTGATCTCCTTTAGGATGGACTGGTTGGATCTCCTTGCAGTCCAAGGGACTCTCAAGAGTCTTCTCCAACACCACAGTTCAAAAGCATCAATTCTTCGGCGCTCAGCTTCTTTATAGTCCAACTCTCACATCCATACATGACTGCTGGAAAAACCATAGCCTTGACTAGGTGTCAACTATTACTTTGTTGACAAAGTAATAGCTCTGCTTTTTAATATGCTGTCTAGGTTGGTCATAACTTTTCTTCCAAGGAGTAGCCATCTTTTAATCTCATGGCTGCAGTCACCATCTGCAGTGATTTTGGAGCCCCCCAAAAATAGTCTGACATTGTTTCCCCATCTATTTGCCATGAAGTGATGGGACCAGATGCCATGATCTTAGTTTTCTGAATGTTGAGCTTTAAATCAACTTTTTTAACTCTCCTCTTTCACTTTCATCTAGAGGCTTTTTATTTCTTCTTTGCTTTCTGCCATAATGGTGGTGTTATCTGCATATCTGAGGTTATTGATATTTCTCCCAGCAGTCTTGATTCCAGCTTGTGCTTCATCCAGCCTAGCATTTCTCATGATGTACTCTGCATATAAGTTAAATAAGCAGGGTGACAATATATAGCCTTGATGTATTCCTTTCCCTATTTGGAACCAGTCTGTTGTTCCATGTCCAGTTCTAACTGTTGCTTCCTGACCTGCATACAGGGTTCTCAAGAGGTAGGTCAGGTGGTCTGATATTCCCATCTTGAAGAATTTTCCACAATTTGTGGTGATTCACACAGTCAAAGGCTTTGGCATAGTCAATAAAGCAGAAATAGATATTTTTCTGGAACTCTCTTGCTTTTTCAATGATCCAGTGGATGTTGGCAATTTGATCTCCGGTTCCTCTGCCTTTTCTAAAACCAGCTTGAACATCTGGAAGTTCATGGTTCATGTATTGCTGAAGCCTGGCTTGGAGGATTTTGAGCATTACTTTACTAGCATGTGAGATGAGTGCAATTGTGCAGTAGTTTGAGCATTCTTTGCTGTTGCCTTTCTTAGGGATTGGAATGAAAACTGACCTTTTCCAGTCCTGTGGCCACTGCTGAGTTTTCCCAATTTGCTGGCATATTGAGTGCAGCACATTCACAGCATCATCTTTTAGGATTTGAAATAGCTCAACTGGAATTCCATCACCTCCACTAGCTTTGTTTGTAGTGATGCTTCCTAAGGCCCACTTGACTTCACATTCCAGGATGTCTGGCTCTAGGTGAGTGATCACACCATTGTGATTATCTGAATCGTGAAGATCTTTTTCGTATAGTTCTCCTGTGTATTCTTGTCACCTCTTCTTAATATCTTCTGCTTCTGTTAGGTCCATACCATTTCTGATCTTTATTGAGCCCATCTTTGCACGAAATGTTCCCTTGGTATCTCTAATTTTCCTGAAGGGATCTCTAGTCTTTCCCATTCTATTGTTTTCCTTTATTTGCATTGGTCGCTGAGGAAGGCTTTCTTATCTCCTTGCTATTCTTTGGAACTCTGCATTCAAATGTATATGTATTTCCTTTTCTCCTTTGCTTTTCACTTCTCTTCTTTTCACAGCTATTTCTAAGACCTCCTCAGACAGTCATTTTGCTTTTTTGCTTTTCTTTTCCTTGGGGATGTTCTTGATCCCTGTCTCCTGTCCAATATCATGAACCTCTGTCTATAGTTCATCAGGCACTCTGGGCAAAGGCTAATAGAGTTATTCCAAGAAAACGCACTGGTCATAGCAAACACCCTCTTCCAACAACACAAGAGAAAACTCTACACATGGACATCACCAGATGGTCAAAACTGAAATTAGATTGATTATATTCTTTGCATCCAAAGGTGGAGAGGCTCTATATAGTCAGCAAAAACAAGACTGGGAGATGACTGTGGCTCAGATCGTGATCTCCTTATTACCAAATTCAGACTTAAATTGAAAAAAGTAGGGAAAACCACTAGACCATTCAGGTATGACCTAAGTCAAACCCCTTACGATTATACAGTGGAAGTAAGAAATAGATTTAAGGGACTCGATCTGATAGACAGAGTCCTGATGAACTATGGACAGAGGTTTGTGACACTGTACAGGAGACAGGGATCAAGACCATCCCCAAGAAAAAGAAATTCATTGAACATGGGCGAGCAAAAGATTGAATACATTGAGATTCATCTGTTTCCTGTCTTACTTGGGAGAGGAGAGACTTGTGTGTGGTAAGGCATTGTGTTTAGGGAGGATAAATTGCCTATGATTCTGTTGGTTTTGTGAATGGTCACTGAAATTCAAATATTGGAGGCTGGAGAAAGAGGCCAAAGTCAGCATGTTATTTCATTTTCTAATTTTTTGTAATTGTTTACTAATTATTCTTAACTGTGGTGGGACCTCCTGGGAAGGAACCAAGGAAATCTTATATTGTATACTCTTGGCTTTTTCCAGGGAACTGATTTTCAGATCATGAAGGACCAATTTTGAGCAGTAGAGATCTTTCTTAAGGCTTCTCTTGATGACTAAGAATGGAAAATCTTTTAACTTAGTCATCACACACTGCCATGGACTGAATGTTTGTGTCTGCTTCCCTTTCACCCCACCCCTCCCAACCCATTTCAGATGTTGAAGCCCTAATCTTCAGTGTGATGGCATTTGGAGATGGAGCTTCGGTATGTAATTAGGTCATGAGAGTGGAAATCTCCTGAGTGGGATTAATGCTTCATAAGAAGAGACAGAAGGGAGATGATCTCTCTCTGCCATGTGAGGATTCAGAAGAAGGCAGCCATCTGCAATCCAGGAAGAGGGGTCTCACCTGATACCTTGATCTTGGACCTTCCAGTCTCCAGAAGTGTGATAAGGTAAGTATGTACTATTTAACCCTCTGGTCTGTAGTAATATTTTGTTATAGCAGCCTGAACAAAGACACATTAATTTCAGGTCATTCAGCATTCAAATAATTTTTCTATTTCTTGGACTGAGGTGACTTCTTAGAATACCTTTGTCCAGGTAATTTAAAAAATTTTATTCACTTTTTGGGATTTTAAAAAATTATTTATTTTTAATTGGAGGATAATTGCTTTGGTTTCTACCATCCAATGTGAATCAGCCATAAGTATACATATGTCCCCTCCCTGTTGGACCTCTCCCCAAACCCCCACCGCATCCCACCCCTCTCAGCTGTCCCGGAGCACTGCATTGAGTTCCTAGTGTTGTACAACAGACGCCCACTGGCTGTCTATTTTACATGTGGTAATGTCTATATCTCCATGCTGCTCTCTCAAATGTCACCCTTTCCTACCTCTCACCCCCCGGCCCACCCTGCTGTGTCCAAAGTCTGTTCTTTATATCTGATCTCTGTTCCTCCTCTGCACTCACCTAACTGAGGTGAGTGACAGCTTGTGGCTCCCATGATAGGTGGGAGGCACCTTGTTCCTCTCTTGTCATGAAATCACTGTTGGTCTTTGGGATGGGCGATCACTGGCTCCAGTGCTGGAGGCTGGGGGAGAGGCCAAGTGGGAACAGGGACGTCTCACTCAGGAGGCCTGCTCAGCCCGAGGGCTCTCCTAAGCTCTCATTTCCTCGCAGCGCACCTTCACCATGCTCCAGGGACCCACTGACATATGCCGCCAAGACGACAGACTGCGATGGATCGTTCCTCACATGTTGACTCAGTTAGTAGCTCTGTCCACGTCTCCAGGCTCAAGCCTTGGAAGGCCAGAACTTTCAGAATGGTCACATTCACGATGGGTACTTTTAAACGAAAATAATTTTATTTATTTTCGGCTGTACTGGGTCTTGCTGTTGGGCTTTTCTCTGTTGTGGTGAGCTGGGGCCACTCTCTAGTTGTGGTGCTCAGGCTTCTCCCTGTGGTGGCTTCTGTTGTTGCTGAGCACCGTTCTAGGGCATGGGGGCTTTAGGAGTTGCAGCGCGTGGGCTCAGCAGTTGTGGTTCCTGGGCTTTGCGGCACAGGTTCAACAGCTGTGGCTCACCAGCTTAGTTGCTCCATGGCATGTGGGATCCTCCTGGATAAAGGATCACACCCATGTCTCCTGCATTGGCTGACCACTGAGTCACCAGGGAAGCCTCTTGATGGGTGATTTTAAACATACAGTGTGTGCCTACATGTATGAGTTTCATTAGTTCATAAAGCTGGTATTTCAGAAAAAAACTAGATTTGTTTTCTCCATTTTTTTGTTTTTTTATGACATCACATTATCTCATCTTCCTTTTCAGCTAAATCAGATCTCTATTCCACCTACCCTCTTTTGTAAAGACAGTCAGTTGGCATGATTGTCAAATTTGGTGTAGAGTTTCCTTCTTACAAGAGATAGTCTTAATTTATGACATTCATTCATTCAACACACATATATTTATAACTTCTGTGTGCTAAGCTTTGTGTGAAGAGGTAATCAGATAATGATAAATATGTTATGGATTTTTGCCCTCAGATAGCTTAGAATCGAGGAAGAGCCATGGCATAATAATAATTAACTCTGCTATAATGCATGTTGTTGTTGTTGAGTCACTAAGTTGTGTCTGACTCTTGCGACCCCATGGGCTGTAGTCCACCAGGCTCCTCTGTCCATGGAATTTTCCAGGCAAGATTACTGGAGTGGGTTGCCATTTTCTTCTCCAATGGATCTTCCTGACCCAGGGATTGAACCTGGGTCTCCTGTGTCACAGGGAGTTGTTTTTTTTTTTTTTTACCACTGAGCCACCTGGGAAGCTGCCTATAATATATTATATATAATATATTAATAACACAATTATTATTATGAGACTCAGAGGAACGTTGTCCTTTCTTGTTTGGTGCCCATCTTTCTGCTGGGTGACTGGTACCTGGCCAGGCTGCCCCTGGGAGACAACATCTGAAGCATATCCAGACTGTGCTATGTTACTACAGGAACTATAGCCTCACCTTTGAAAGACTGAGGGTTAGTCCAATCATGGTGACCCATCCTGTCAAGTATATTGTTGTTCCCAGATTTTGAAGGAAACTAGTTACAGTTTTCTATTTGGAATGAGGGAGTTTTAAGAAATACAGAGATGGAAAGAGAATGAAAAGAAAGAGTACATAATGGTTCTAGAATTTTCATATAGAACATGCTTGGGGTGGCTGTCAGTGAGGGCGAACAGGGGAATTTCCTATAGTATTTGTATAACCAACCCAGTTGTTTACTTAGGATTGTATATTTATTTGGGGTGGTTTGGAAGAGGCTATTGAATATTATGGTTGGGAGGGGATCACAAATCATTTCTTGGTATTTCCACTCATGGTAAGTTGCTCAAAAAGGGGGCAAATAACTTTTATTAGGAGGTAATTTATTAAGGAGCATCTTTATACACAGGACCGTTTCCCAGTTTTAACACTGAAGCTCTGGCACAGAACTTTATAAAGTCTTGACATGAAGATTTGTTGAAAGGAACTGCACTTGACTCCGAAAGAATGCAGTATCTTATCTCGGATATAATTTAAATAGATGAGTCTATGTAGTTCAAGGAAACAGTTTCTCTAGGCTCAGGGGAACAGACCCAGGTGGTGCCCGATCCACACTGCAGTTGCCCTGCTGTCTTACTGGCTGGCTCGCTGCTCCCTGCTTTCTCTCTCAGTGCCTGCCGTGCTGGCGCAAAAGGGAAGCGTGTCGGAGGCCAGTGCTTGTGGCTCCTTCCTGAAGACCCCTGGTTAGATGAATCATTAAAAGTCTCTCCACTCGGCCTGCTCAGCGTCGCACTGCCCTGGATCATATCCACAGCCCTACCTTCGATTCTAAACTGAAGCTATATCTGCTTGCTCCTTTCGGCACATTTTCACATCTTGAGCGCAGCCTGTGATGTGCCCATCTGCACGGCTATCTACATGAGAGCAGGCCTGCGGGGAGTGTGGCCGAGAGCTCACTTAAGACCCTTCACAGGTTCCTGCTGGCCTCTTCCAGACTGCAGCTGCAAAGGAAGCTAATCATGAGCGTATCGAACATGGCAGAGTGGCCTGGTCACACATTACACCTGGGGGTGTTGAGTCCTGCTCGTAGTCAGATGCCTGGTGCTGTTTTGGTAACTTGGGCTTTGAGTTGTGTTGACTTGTCAGTGGGACAAGTCCACAAACTTTAGCTAAATAGTTGTGGTATATATTAGGAATGTTAGATAAGGCAGTTCCATGTAGCTCCTATCATTCTGCATTCTTGGATTGAAAATAAGCCAGTCTTTCAGCAGTTTGAAGAGAATGCCTTAGAACTGGCCCTTTGAACACCGTAAGAATGAAATTGATATGTGGAGACACTTTGGAGACACTCTGACTTGTTAATGTAAAGAATATGAAGGATCTAGATGTTTGCTAGGAAAATACAAGTGGGAACCAAACTATACTTAAAACATCTGAAGATCTTTCTGACATTTCCCAGATGGTTACCTAAGTAATTGAAGTTATAACTGCTTTAGTTTGATGTGTCAATATATACTCTGCAAGCTATTATGGAACCCATGATGTTCCCAGTCTTCAATCAATAGCAATATTAAGAAAAAAGAAAAAAGAATTAATTGTTAGCATTGATAAACATTTAATTAAGGCCTATAAAAAAAAGCAGTTGCTTGCATGCACATGATTCATTATTAGATTTTGATCATTTCATGATCAAATCTCCAAAGAAGCACATGCCAGTTACAAACTGAACCTAGAAAGTTTTCCAAGGACCAGTCATCTATTTAATATCTTGCATAAAATCGATGATGATTTCATCATCTGATCGTAGGCTGAGCCTAGTATATGGAGCAAAGTCTGTGGAAGAAGAATTGGTGAATTGGAGAGGCAGTGGAATGAGAAGAGAGGGTTGCATCTTCTCTAGATTCTTCTTCATTTCCTCCCATTCTTTTTTTCAAAAAAGTATGTTTTTTTAATTGAAATAGTGTTGACATACAAATTATGTTTGTTTCAGGTGTAGTACATAATGATTTGACATTTACATAATAAAGTAATTAAACAAGTGTTTATTTATTTGGCTGCATGGGGTCTTAGTTGCAGCATGTGGGACCTTTGATCTTCGTTGCAACATGTGAAATCTATTTCCCTGACCAGGGATTGAACTCGGGCCCCCTGCACTAGGAGTGCAGTGTCTTAGCTACTGAATCACCAGGGAAGTACCCCCTGCTTCCATGCTTATATTCCATTCTACTTGCATTTTCAGTTAATATCTCTAGTAATTGTCTTTCAGACCTATATTTTTGTCTCTAATTTCTCTGAAACTTCCAGATGTCTTATGGGAATTTCCACCTAAATTCCTAAGCTTCTAAAACCTGATATACAGTATTTCATCTCCCGTGACAATCTGAGTTTTCCTTTTAACTTCCCACTTGTGTTAATACCAGCAGTTATTAGTTACTGGCTTTGACATCTGAGAACCATGTTTCACTGGCCATTTCCTCTTGTTTGTTCATGTCCAAATAGTTCTTAAATCATACTTACTCTTCCTTATTCTTCTCTTTGATTTGCTCACTTCTTTCTAGTCCTGTGGTGACCCCTTCAAAAGTTTGCATCCTTACTATAGCTTTTGATAACCTTCTAGTTGGTCTCCCGACTTCTAGTCTCTTTTTCCACTAACTGGGCCAGCAACTTACCACAAAGCTCCTTGTATGCCCTAATTTGGGCTTCTCTGGTAGCTCAGATGGTAAAGAATCTGCCTTCAATGCAGGAGAACCCTGTTTGATTCCTGGGCTGGGAAGACCCCTGGAGAAGGGCAGGGGTCCAGTATTCTTGGGCTTCCCTCATGGCTCAGATGGTTAAGAACCTGCCTGCAATGCAGGAGATATGGGTTAAATCCCTGTGTTGGAAAGATCCCCTGGAGGAGGGCATGGCAACCCACTCCAG